GGGTCGCCTGATTCATAACAGTAGCAAAATGACAGTGATGAAGTAGCAACGAAAATAATTTTATGGTTGGGGGTCACCACAACATGAGGAACTGTATGAAAGGGTCACGGCATTAGGAAGGTTGAGAACCACTGGACTAGAGGGGACTCTAAGACTTGGCAAAAAGGCTTGTAGCTAGAAAACAGGAGGAAGATCCGGATTTGGAAGGAAAGTCATGCATTCAGCTGGGAATGTGCCCCATTCTGAGGCAGCCACGGCAGAAATACAACGTGCACTCCAAGTGGTGGTTCTGAAGGTCAAGCCTAGAACAAAGATTAAAGGCCGTCTCAGGACAAAAGGTTCTAAATTAACCTGTATTTGATTAGTGCATACTGGGTGCCAGGCATTGTCTGCCCAAGTTCCTCATTTCACCTTCACCACAGCCATAAGATATGGTACTATGATTAGTCTCATACTTGAGTTGAGAAAGAACGTGGCATCAGGATTGGAGGAAGATGCATTAACAACCTGCAACATGACACAATCTGGCTTGCTCAAAGTGAAGAAGACTTGACGCACTTACCGATTAAGACCAAAGACTACAGCCTCAGAGAACTTGTAAGGCTTTACAACGGGACCAACAGACAACATCACGATAAACAGAAAAAGAGTGAGGTGTTCCGGGTTTTATTTTACTAGGATCAACTATCAATGCTCAAGGAAGCAGCAGTCAAGAACTCCAGCAATACACTGCACTGGCAAATCGGTTGCACCTCTTTAAAGCATTGAAGAGCAAAGACACCACTTTGGGAAGGTGTCCCTGAGCCAAGCCATCACCTCGTATGCATGTGAAAGCTGGACAAAGACTAAGAAATACCAGAGATGAATGGATGCACTTGGATTAGGGTGCTTGGGAATCACACTGAAAGGACCTTGGACTTCCAAAAGAATAAACAAATCTGTCTTGAGAGAAGTATGGGCAGGACAACTCACTAGAAACAAGAATGGCAAGAGTTTGACTCAAGTACTTTGGGCATGTTATCCGGAGGGACCAGCCCCTGGAAAAGGAAATCAAGCTTGGTAAAGTAGGGGGCCAGTGGAAAAGAGGAAGACGGTCAATGAGGGGGACTGACACAGTGGCTGTAACGATGGGCTCAAACTTAACAATAATTGTGATGATAGTACAGGACAAGGCGGTGTTTTCTTCTGTTATTCATGAAGTCGTTCTGAGTTGGAAATTACTCAAGGGCACCTAACAACGACACAACAGCAACACCTGAGAAAACCCTGGCTCAGAGAATGCAGGTAATTTAAATCTAGTTAGAATTTACTCAATCACATGGCTAAAATTCAGGAGAGGTGGGATTGAAACCCAAGTCTGCCCGACACCAAAGGTAAAGCATTACCTACAAGTTACCACCCTGGAATTTAAAAAAAAATCAAATACCTTATATGGATCTATTTATATGTCTGCCTTCCCACTGCACCATGAAGACAAAGGCCATTTTCATTCTTATTTGTAGCCCTAGCACTTAGCACCAAGACTGGCAGATGGCAGATACCCAAGCAAACCCATATTTGTCAACTGATGAATGAACTTCGAGTGAGGCAGGTAACCATTGAGTACTACGAAATGTAACTGCCAAGAGAACAGAACGGTGTCTCTTTTGTTCATGGCTGTATGCGGAGTACAGAATAAAAATTTAAAAACAAACAACTCACTATCACTGAGTTATTTCTGACTCATAGAAACACTGTAAGGGCAGGGGAGAACTGCCCCTTGGGTTTCTGAGACTGTCACTCTTTGGGGGAGTACACAGCCTTATCTTTCTCCCATGTAGCACCTGATGGTTTCAAACTGATGACTGTGTGATCGGGACTCCTGAGTATAGAACAGGCACTCAGTAAATAAGTGCTAAATAAGTGTTAAGTGAATGGATGCCTGAAGTAGGCTAGGTGACTCCCATCCAGATCCTGTTATTGAGGTGCACAGTCTAGTTGGGAAAACACACAAACACACACACACACACACACACACACACACACACGGAAGCAGCAGGTGCCAGGAGAGAGTCTGAGTTCTGTGAGTACAGAGAACCTGGGAAGGTTTGCTTCCAGCTTGGCAGAACCACAAAGCCCACAGCAATGTGGGTCTGCAGAGTCAGAACACAAGGAATTTCAGACAAAGGAAAGAGCGTAAACAATGAGATTCATTCATGTACTGTTTCAGTGATGGTCTATTGTCATAAATACC